CAAGAGGGCCCCAAGCGAACCCCAAGAGAGCCCCAAGATGGCTCCAAGTTTCGAAAGGCACGCGAGCTTAAGATACAAATCAGTGCAACAGCCATTACGAGTCATCGAAACACCCCATCACCCCTCATCGAAGCACCATCGTAGATGGCACCGATTTCCATCTTAAACTTCAATGCGGAAAGCAAATTGTGATCCTTGTTTTCCCGAAGACGGCTGCGCGACTGCATGCGTCCTGCTGCCCCCTGATTCACCAACTCCCGTGCTGATCGTTTCTGGATGGGCTGGTGGGAATATTTTTTTCGGTCGCGGCCGCAAGCGAAGAGGCAAGCGGCGGGCAGGGTGTCCGGGCCAACGGGCAAGCCTAATTAGCTACAAGAGGCGCACTAGCCGGCCGGCCCACTCACAACGCAGCCGCGAGGCAGTGGGGGAGCTGACGGCGGGGGGCATCCTGGGAAGCTCGAGCACATGCAGTGGACAAAATGTCGAGGAATTCGATGCCTGCCGTGAGGCACGACCCACACAGTGACAAGACGTGTACCTGAGCAACCGTGTCCGTCATTCTGAATGGGGGCAGGCGCGAGGCCCGAGGAGCGAGTCGCCAGTGGGGCGCCAGGCTCCAACCGTCCCAACGTCGTGCGCTAGCCAGGGGGGCTGAGCTGTCGCGGAACGTGGTGCGACGCAACCTACCGGAAGCTGGTAGGTGAGCCACTGCGTGGCGTGCTGCAGCTGCTGCGAAGGGCTGAACCACTCCGTGGCGATCTCAACACCCGCCAGTCCACCAGGCAGTGCTTGGGGGAGGCCGCGAAGCGTCAATAATTAACCGACAACAACAGCAGCAGCAGCAGCAACAACAACAACCACCACCATTTTAAGACTGTTCGCTTCGATCTGATCTGCTCGAGTGCTAATCAATACGTATATCCCAAGCCCTCGGTACCCACCCTCGTCGTCTTCGATCGTACCCCCTTGGGGGTATATCTTCCCTACCTGCCACGTGTATTCAATGCAGCCCCTAAAACAAGGGAAAAGAGGACGGGTGGAAAGGGGGAGGGAGAATAATGGAGCACGAGAGAAATTAGCAGGAAAGGGGCAAGGAGCAGAAAACAAGTGGTAGAACCAGACGGGCAGATCGGGTCGGCAGACCCATAGCGGGCAGGTCGGGAAGGCGGCCCAGGCGAAGAGGAAGTATCAGGCGGCAGCCGTTGTTGTTGTAAACTGGGGGCCAACGACACAGTTTGAGCCTCAATATTTTCTTAGTACATAACAGGGTGCGAGCCCGGGGAGGGGCACTTCAAGCAAAAAATCAATGTGCACCGGGCGGGGGGATCAACCATAATTATTCTTCTGAAAAGAGAGCTCAACAGCAACAGCAGCAGCAACAACAACAACGACACCAATCATTCAAAGACTGTTCGCTCCTATCTGCTCATGTGCCATACGTATACCCCGAACCCTCGCTACCCGCCCTCGTCGTCTTCGATCGTACCCCTTTGGGGGTAGAACTTCCTTACCTGCCACGTGCATTCAGTGCAACCCCTAAAACAAGGGAGGAGAGGACGGGTGAAGCGGGAGGGAGGAGGATGGAGCACGAGAGAAATTAGCAGGAGGGGGGGCAAGGAGCAGAAAACAAGTGGTAGAACCAGACGGGCAGATCGGGTGGGCAGACCCGTAGCGGGCAGGTCGGGAAGGCGGGCCCAGGCGACCAGGTCGAGCAGGCGGGTTGCTGAAGCGTGGGTCCTGCGTGAATCGCGAGGAACTCTCGAGCGATAGCGCGATTCCCGAAGAAAACCATGATAAAGCCCACAGCGAGAACGTGGTTCCTGAGCGCCGAGGAGATCTCGAGCGATAGCGCGATCCCTAAGTAAATCGTAAGAAAAGCCAGCGTGGGCCACGAAGGGCATAAATTCCGAGGCCACAGAGGGCAGCAACAGGGCCGCTGAGGGGGGCAGCACCGGGGCCACGAAGGGCAGCGACGGGGCCACAACGGGCGACAGCGGGGCCACGCATGGCATGCATATGGGGCCACGACGGGCGCGAGCGAGCGGGGGCCACGAAAGGCATTCGAAAGGGCGACAGCGGGGCCACTGAGGGCAGCAAAGGGGCCACGAAGGGCAGCGAGGGGGCCACGAAGGGCGACAGCGGGGCTACGAAGGACATGCGTATGGGGCCACGACGGGCGCGTGCGAGCGG